GAAATGAGCTCTACTCAGGTCTTTTACATTAGATATATCCATAGTCATCCCATATTGAAAAAGTTTAATAAAAACCCATTTCTGTTATTAGACAAGATTTTCATTCTGTTCTTTGTGAAAATTATATTATATATGCATAATACAGCCAATGGAGAAGTTAAGTCCAAACAACACTTCCTATTTTTACAACAAATTATTTTCTGCAAAATGAAGCTCCTATCACAGAATGTACACTTTAAAGACTTTAACTGTAAAAGCAAAGCTTAAATATCAAGCCATTTAGAAAGCAGAAAATTGTTCATGGCTTATGAATTAAAAGGCAGGCTTTATATTGATTTAAGGAGGCTAGTCAATGAGATATAGAAGGACAACATTATCTATTCTCCATACTGTAGGCTAAAATAGACATCTAATTAAGCCACTCCACTTCCAAAACTTTTTAGTGGTTTTCCCATTGTACTTAATGTTCTCCAGAAGGATCCTAAAAAGGTTCCAATCTGGATCTCTTAAAAGTCCTACAAATACACAGAGTAAGTTCCAAAGGATGGAATTCATAAGGTCCATTTTAATATCCTGGAAACTACTGAGAGAAGAAAATGAAGTGGTCAGTTGAATATCACTTTTACTACTTTGTCTTTTGCAGAAAAAATAATATATGCTGACTTGCTTGTATTAGATTCTGTCATCACTAGTACAATTTTGAGGACACTGTCACTATAGGGTCTTAAACATAGCAGTCTATTTTTGTTAGTATGCTGTTTAGCTCAGAAGAAAGTCACCAAATGAACATGATCCCCTAGTTCTTAATAATCTTCCTAAGACTAGAAATTGAATGATCAATTTAGCCACCTTCTTATGTGGCTCCAAGATAGTTTTAGGGTATATTATATTGCAAGAAGGCTATCATTTAGTGTCATTATTAATATCTTACATTTATGCAATGTTTAACAGTTTAAAAATATTTTTGTATATTATTTCATTTACTCATCAATCTGGTATGAGAGGTATAATGAATGCTATTTCCCCCATTTAAGAAATTTGAAAATGAACTGAAAATATGAAAGCTATGAAGTAATTTCTCTCAAATTGTACAGTTCTTGCATATATTTATATACTAATTATATCGCACATTTATGCTTTTTATTTATATGACATTTTAAAGCTTACAAAGTATTTTCATATTCATGATTTAACTTGATCTGCACAACAATCCTGGCAGGTGTTATTATTTCATATTACACTGGAACAGTATGGTGTAGCTGTTAAGAACATAGGTTATACAAGCAGAATGCCTAGATATGAATACTATCCCATCACTTTCTGTGTGTTTCCATCTTCTCATCTAATAATTAAAATATGAATGAATCCTGCCACACTGGGTTATAAGGAAGCTTAAACAAAATAGTGCAAGTAAAGCAATTAATGCAATGATTAGTACACAGTGAGCATTTAATAAATTCTCAGTTATTATTACCTATGAAAAATCTAAAGCTCAGAGAGGTTAAGTGACCTGTGCAAATATACGGAATGGTAGGTGGCAGAGCTGGAACTAGAACACAAGTTTTTTCCCTCCTGGTTCAACGACTCTTCTATTGTACCATATTGCTTTAGTTATGTTAAATCAATGATCCTACTCATTTATTTTATTTGGTAACGTACAAGTAAGGCACACTCCACAGACTTGTGGCTTTATTCAGGAATCACTGTGACATATAGAATCTCAAAAGCAACAAGTATAAATTTTATCATCTAAAGCTGTTCCCCAACCCCTGGGCTACAGTCAAGTACCCATCCATGGCCTGTTAGGAAAACAGGGCCACAAAATCACTGCCTAAGCTCCACCCTCTCCCACTTCCCACTTCCCCTCTCCACCTCCCTCGCCTCTCCAGTCCCCCTCAACCTTCCTAGCCCCATCTGTGGAAAAACTGTCATCCATGAAAAACGGTCCCTGGTGCCAAAAAGGTTGAGGATCACTAACCTAAAGAAATGTAGATGTGTAGAAACAACGGGGTCCCTGGCAAATATTCTGGCTATTTATATACGACTTAATCATGTTACTTGGTCATTATTAGAACAGTCACATTTAAACTTGATGTGAATATCAAGAAATGAAAAGAAAAATAGATGTTTTTATTTATACCAATTTTTAAAAATCCCTCAACAATTATTTCCATTTTTTATTCATAGAGCATAATATATTGACATAATTACAATATAAATTGATTTTAAAAAATATTAGTCCTGCCATCATGAAACATACATTCTTGTATGAGATACAGACAAAAACCCTGCAACTAAAAATGTAATATCAGTTAATAAGAGCTATGAAGAAAATAAATTAGTAGGATAAGAGGACATAGTGCTAGACAGGTGCTATCGGATAAAGTAATTAAGAAAGACCTCTCTGAGGAGGTAACATTTGAGCAGAGCACTGAATGAAGTGTGGAAATGCATTATGTGGGAAGAACATTCCACTACAAATGAATATGCTTTATGTTTTGGGGGAACGACAGGAGGCCAGTGTGACTGGAGAGCAGTGGGTGAAAGGAAGAGGGGTAGGAAATGATGTAGGAGAGGTAGCATGTGGCTAGATCAGATAGGGCCTTCCAGGCCATGGTAAAAATTTTAGATTTTATTCTATTCTAAGTGTGATTGGAACACAGTGGAAGATTAAAAGCAAAGTGACAGAATCAGATTCACATTTTATAAAGATCACTGGCTACTGTGTGAACAGACTACAGGGGGGAAAGAGTGAAAGCAGAGACCTGTTGGGAGGCCATTTATTCATACAGTGAATACTTATTGAGCACCTATTAATGACAGACACTGTTCTAGGTGCAGAGGATACAGCAGTAGGTAGAACAGGCAAAAATCCCAGGCCTCCTAGCCTTACATTCTAGTAGGTATTGCAGCAGTGCAGGCAAAAGATGACAGTGGCTTGGACTCAGGTGTAGCAGTGGAAGTAGTGAGAAGGGATCAGATTTAGTATATATTCTGAAGACAGAGTCTATGACTTGCTGAAAGAGTGAATGTGGGGTCTGACAGAGAGAAGTCAAGAATGGCTCCAATACATTCGTCCTAAGCAAGCAGGTGGTACCATTTATTCAGAAAGGAAACACTGCAGCAGGAGCAGGTTCTGGGGAGAAATGCAAGGTTCAGTTTGTGACATGTTAAGTTTGAGATGTATCTTAAACATACATAAAAAATATAATGTAGGAAGCTGAATATATAGATCTAGAGGTAAGGGAAAAAGGCAGGGCTAGAGATAATTTGG